CGTCACCCGGATGATGCTCATGATGCGTGCTCGTGGGTGGGGCTGTTCATCGCGCACGCCTGTGAATGGGTGACGCCTTCCGTGTCCGCTTCTTCTGTAGCCTTTCGATTTCTTCCCAAATCACGAGAGTGCGCGCAGAAAGAAAAAGCCTCAACCGTGCATCATCAGCACCATCTCTCTGACGGCTTACCCGAATAATCTGCAGCCACTGTAGCCTTTGTGAATCTGAAAGGAATTGGATTGCAAGCGAAAGGCTGCTGATGAATCGGGCAAGCCGTCGCTTGGATGATGCTGATGCGTGCTGCATGGCCATCCAGCATCTTCTCGTTTGAGCTGGACGATGGCAAGCGACAGATTGCCCAAGAATGGGACAGAGAAGGCGTCATGCAGGTTGGGCTCATGATGTGTGCTTCAGGTGAGGCGATGGTCGCGAGTCGGAACATTGCACGCAAAAGTCTGCGGAAGACTCGGGCGGTTCTGCTGCCAAACGATCTACCTGCATGTCTCGCCATCCGTCGCACCAACATTTTGGATAGACAGAAACATTATTATAGGATATGTTGATCACATTTACACATGCGTATGTGACTGTCTGTGCCTATTATGTGTGTACTTGTGTATATGTATGCAACTGCATGTGACGGTATGTAAGTGTATGTAAGTCGGTCTCTGCCTCGGTCTTTTTCTGTATCTGTCTGTGATGGGCTGGGCACTGCTGGGCCATGCTAGGTTGGGGTCTGCGATAGGGACGGCAAAGCTGACAGCATGCGGGGATCCGAGGACATGTGGTCCCTTGGAGTGTGAGGGCCCCCAGAAAAGCGTTCGGGGGGGGGGGGGGGGAGACGGGGGGGAGAGGCTCTGAGAGGGCTTGGGCCTTTTCACTGCCCCCGATCCCCTGCCCTGAGGTTGGTCTACGTGATCTTGGTGGGGCAGTTCCCGATCGGCCCGGCGCCTTGCAGAGAGCCGTCGTGGTTTGGGGAAGCGGGGAGCAGAGCTGGGTTTCACGGCCCCAAGGGCAGTCCAAGCAGACGAAGTCGGAGTTGACACGGCAAATCATCAAGGCGTGACCTTTGGGTGTGCCAGTTCTGAAACTTAGGATTTTGCATGGTTTTACAGTGTTTAACTAGGGTTTACGTCTCTCCAAGACAGTAGGGCAGTGTAGGGTTTCCATAGGCCTCGAAAAGCTGCCCGGGGCCTCTTGCAGCTGATGGCTCAGATGCCACATGCAATGTCGAGCTGCAACCCTTTCAGGGCCCCCACCCCTCTGCAGCTCTTTGCGAAGTCGCTGCAAGAATCGGTGCAAGAAGCAGATGCTACCGCAGAGGCAGGGGTTGGCTGGGATTCGAATCAGGGTATGTTACAGGCTTAACCACAACCTCAAATGCATGTGTCTATCGAGAGAGTTTCTTATGAGGAGCACGGTCTGGGTCAGGTTAAGACAGATGAAGCAAATCTTGGGGGCACCGTGCGCCCCTGTTCTAAACGTTGTAACCCTCCTGGCTCTGTGAGCTGCTGTGAGCTGTGAGGACGCCCCGATGCTGTTTCCCATGTACACCGTACCATCGGAAGCCTTGCTGCAAATGACCGCAGTCGAGCCCCATGAAGTGCTAAAGGCTTCTTGGCTGATAGGAGCTTGGGTGTTCTACCAAAACCGTGGTTTCGCGTCTATGCGATGGAGGCTGATAGAGGCTGGTTCCGTGTGCGGGAAAGGACTGAGGCAGTGGAAGATGACGGTCTTAAGCAAGTTGCTAGTCGGTTTCTTTTTTTTTGGCGAATGTCCATGAAGTTCTCCCGAGGTGCTGGTAAGTGCTGGTGCAGTATGAGGATAGCAAGGGTAAAGCGGCTTTCATCTCGCATCAATGGGTCGGAGGAGATCACCCAGATCCAGACTTCAAGCAGTTCTCTATCCTTCAAGCTGCCTTGAGGCCAGAGTCGGGCAAAAGCGGTTTAGGATTTAAGGTCTGCGCTGATCCCACTTTCAAGTTTTGAGACAGTGCGATGTCCAGACAAGCCTGAGGAACCTCTTGACCACGATGCGAAGTGTTCCCTTGGACTATGCAACGGAGGGGGTCGTCGCCTTTGCCAAGAGCTTGAAGACAGATGCTTTTAAGTCACAGCCGCTATTCCTTTGGTACGACTACTTCTGCTGTCCACAGATGGAGCACAGGATTTCGACCTGCCATGCGACGTTGCAGAAGGAGAGTGACCTGCTTCGGGCCATCCAGAGCATTCCGGCCTATGTGACGAAGCGTGAGTTCTTTTTCGCACTCTGCCCCGTAGTTGAGAGCCCTTCGGAAGGCAAAGTTTTCACACATCGGACCTGGGCAGGCCACCAACTGGAAGACGTCCTGGCGCGCGGGCGGCGCGCCTCCGTGGTGGCGGGGCCTTCTCTCGAAGAGGCTTCGAACATTCCAGGTGCAGGTGACCTACGGCTCGCCTTGGCAGAGGCCGGCCGAGGACTTGGCATGCTTAGTCTGCGCTGCGGGAGGCCAGACCTCCCCCTGCATCATTGCATTGGAGCCCGATGCTCATGCTGCACACATGGGTTAGGGTTTAAGCAGGGTTGCCTTCTAGGTATCGGGATTCCTATGACAGGCAGTGCTGTGCACTCCTTTCCGTGCCTCCGCCTTAACCGCTCCGTTGGATTGTTGGGCCAGAGGATTGGTGAAGCCTCCCATCCGGGGCCTGGTGCCTCGGCTGTGACTAGGCGCAAGCGTGCCCAGGCTCGCCAAACACAGTTGCTCACGTTGCTTGAAGGAATTCTGAAGTTGCTTATGGGCAAGGGTTCCTCCGGGCTCCAGCCCCTGCTTGCTGCATTGGGCCCGTTGCTTTCTGAGAAGCCTCCAGACAAGCCACCCAGGACCCGAGCCCAGCCAAAAGCCCAGCCGAAAGCCAAGCCTAAGGCCAAAGCGCAAGCCCAGCCGGTGGCTCCACCTGCCCCGGCCACTGCACCTGATGCCCCGGTTCCTCCTCCCCGTCGCCCGGCCCAACCTGCTGTGCAGTACGCCTTGCGTGGAGGAGACTATCATGGCACGATCGTCCAGTATGGCGAGCTCTCTGAGAAGCTCGCCACCTTGGAGGCGGGCCCTTTGATCTTGCTTGCTGCTGATGAGGAGCAGGCCGATGCCGCCGCTCAGCTTATCCGAGGGAAAGGGAAGCACTCTGCTTGGATTTTCCTTAGAGATATTAAGGGCGCGTGTGTGGTTCCGATGGCCTCTGGATCGAGGGTTGTCACTCAGCATGTCATTCGCACTGAAGTGTGTTGTAGCGGAGTGGCTGCTCCATCCTTTGAAGTCGGCTCCCAAGCCTGCGCCGGCCCCGGCCGCGGCCACCACGGTGGTTAGGATCGTCGCATGCAAGGGCTTTGCTTCGGATCAGCTTTGGCAACGTGCGTTGGCCTCCCCGCGAGGCTTTGTTCAGGAGTGGGGCCGCCTAGCGCTTCCCCTTGACAAGCAGGGCTGCATTAAAGATGCGTGGCAGTTCGCCAAGCATGACCGTGCCAGCCACCAGGTAGTGCAAGGCCTGGCCCGAGTCGAGACCGCGGGCATTGGGGTCGTCTTTAAAGCCTCGGGATCTCACGGTGTTTTCATTGAGCCGGTTGGAAGGCAGGAGGCCACGCCAGTGGTTTCTGTGGCGTGGCATCGGCCTGCCCCCAAGGAGTCTTGGAAGCAGCTGCACGAGCGATTGCTGGCCGAGCGGCCCGCCTTTGGGCTGCTGCTTGGCACCAGGGAGCTTGGCACCCGCATTGCTCCGCAGACAGGTGAAGCACCGACTCGAACGTGGACAATCACAGGTACGCCTCCGCCCTGGACCGACGACTACATCAGGTCATT